GGCCGTGTGTTGAGGAACAAGTCATTCAGGATTGATCCATACACTGGAAAGAGTCTGACGACGCGTCCCGCCAAACCGTCTTGGAATGCTGCTGTGCGGTTCGCAGGCCAATTTTGAGCGAAGCGCTCCAGCTTTGGACCCCCCAATGTTGCCCCGAGGCTGGGCGACAAGTTCAGTCCAAAGTACAACAATAACAATAACTGTTGTTTCTTTTTGGAAAAGATATAATTACTTGGATGCAAGAACTTGTATAACTTGATGATATATATATATATATATACCTTGCTCCTCCACTGGTCTCTTTTTTGCGGTTCTGCTTTATCTTATACTATATACGGCGTATACGGTTTGTGAAATTCCTAAACTTTTTGTGCAAAGTGGGCTTTTGATACCTTGGCAGAATTCAATAGGATTGGCAAGCCGCTACAAAGAGAGAGAGAGAGTTGACAGTTAACACATCAAGACGGTAGAACCAGAAGAGGATAACCAGTAGCTAGCAATTTATCAAGGAAGTTGGATGCTCTTGCCCAAAAGAGAGCTAGATGCACGGCTCCACACACAAATCTCTCTCTCTCTCTCTCTGTCTGTGTCTGTGTCTGTGCCGGTCTGTCTGTCTCTTTTAATCCCATGGAGGATTTGCATCGAAGCCTTCAGGACATGAGCAAGAGCGGGAAGCGCCAGAGACCAGTGCACAGGGAGCGCCCGCACACCAGGACTGGTACTTCATACACTTGAGCAGTTCCAAATCTCAGGGCGACTTGATGTACTTTGCCATTGCAACGCTGTTTCCGACGTTCATGATGTCTTGAACCTGTTTACAAACAGGTGGTGAGCATGGCTGCTAGGCACCAGGTGGCATAAGGTGTTAGGAGCCTCCATGCCATGCAGAGTCTGAATGCAGGGAGGATTGGATCCAAAATGAATCCCACCTATGGATCCACATGTCGCAGGGAGATCCAGCTCCACCTGAACATTCCCTTCCCAGCAAGACCGAGCTCTTAGAGAGGGGGACCGGGCCCAGTGGGCGTGTGTCAAAGAAGACACAGAAGTTGTGAAGCTGTAATACCTGCAACCTTTGGAGCAAACCATAGACATGGTGTCCAAGCAAACTAACTTGAAGCAACCATGGAAGTCATAAGCTTCTTGGACTGGTTTGAGTCTAAGCCCCAGATCCGATGAGCGCCTTGACACCTTGACACTGAGGTGGGAATGGCCTCCCTGGTGTTTGAATTTCAAGTCTCCCAACATCGAGGTGGATGTCGGGCTGAACATTTTTTGCAGCCACAGGGCAGGTCGGACACATTAATGAGTGCCTGTTCTTCTGTTCTTCTTTTACTCTCCCTCTCCCTCTCCCTCTCCCTCTCCCTCTCCCTCTCCCTCTCCCTCTCTTTCTTGTCAAACCGCTTTTCCAGTCAGAGGGCTGCGATCCTCGCCAATCACTGTAGCCAAAGATGCTGCATGCATTCGCAGAGTTCCTCCACATTTATGACTTCTTCCACCTCGAGAGTAGCAACAGACTGATTGTGCCCATCGTATGTTTCACCCACTGTCGGACGTCCTGTCGCTGTTGTGCCCATCCAGGTTTGGGTGCTGGATGAGGATGCGGGCGTCGGAAGGCGGGCCGCTGGTTTGGCCGGTGGTCTGGCCACGGGTCTGGTGAAAGCTTCTATAGGTAAGACCAGTGAACCACAAAGGTCTGGTGTTTCAACAAGTGAAACACAGTAAGCAAAATTCTGATGGGAGTCGGTGCCAGGATGGAATATGATGGAACACATTGGGAAGAGAGTTTTTTTTCTGCTTGAATTCTCAACAGCGAGCTACCCAAGCAAGCCACATGTTTTTCCTCTTTGTCCCGATCATCTCGTATCAGATGGGTCTCGGCGCAACCGCAAAGCCGGGTGGTCGACAAGGCGAGGTTGGGATGATCATCATGGTCACACCTGTTCGGTTTTTTCAACTACCAACAGGAAGAAATGGGCATAGTGCTGTGTATCTCGTGGAGACGAGGGAGACTGAATCACTGAAGGAGACCGCTTGGATACTGTTGGAAACTGATCGAGGCTGATGGAGACCTCCCAACAAATGGATCGAGTTTTACACATGAGGCGGGTCGAGATGCTTACCTCTGCGCCGAGTACCTCTGGGAAGCGGAATACTATGTGCAGGCGCCGAACTGGGGGCATTTCGTTGGGACCCACTAGGTGCTAACCATGTGAGCTGATCAGCATTGAACCGCATCTCGCGGATCCCCGTAGCATGGCTCAGAAACTCAGACTATTTTTGTGAGTCACTTCCTTTTAAATGCTTTTTTTTGGTGTTAACAGATTAAAACCAAATGCCATACACGACGATCCATTTGATCGCATTCGCTGTGCCCGTTGAAGCCTACGAACTCTGGCATTGCGCGCCACGCTTAAAAGTTTCCCTTTAAGAAAACAGAAACCAAACGATTAGTGCGAGCGCTTCTTCATCCTGCGTCCAGTAGGTAGTAACCAACTAGTAGCTAGGAGCGAACTTCTCCCTTACTTGAGTAGGCGCCTACTTAATTAAGTCAGGAAGGCGTACTATGAAGTAAGCAAAAACGCCACAGCTCCATTCCTGAGGACTTTGGACCGCAGCATGCTTGAAGCTCAGTGTTCCGGTGAGACCGATTGCTTGAGTCCGAAGGAGTCCGAAGGAGTCCCATGGACACCGCACCTCGAAAAGAGCCAAAGGTGCACAGAAGAAACTCCTAGCCCTTGCTCTCCGACCATTTAAGTACTGTACACACTCTGTACACATGTACAAATCCTTTTGGGTCTTCGCAGAGCAGGTCGCTACGGCTGAGGTTCGCCGGAAGGGTGAAGCTCGCACGGTGCTGCAGACACTCACACAGGCTCGTTCTGGGCTCGGCGGTGGGTGCGAGAGAGCAAAATTCCTTATAGAATCTTATATAAACATATTTCAATTTCAACATGTTTAGAAAACTCCTGCTGGGAGTCACTGATCAATGGTTTTGTGGGCGTTGTTTCTATCAGATGTGTTGGAAGATGTTTGAAGGTGTGGGTGTTCCAAGTGTTTCGTGGTTGCAGTATGTACACTTTACAGCTGTGCTGCACTTTTGGGACACGGCGTTCTCCGTGAGCCGCAGAAGTTTACAGTATGCCTTTCAGGGCTGTTGGGTACGTTCAATCCAAAAGCCTTAAAGACAAGTTCTCGACACGTGGCCCCAAGATTCCAAAGAAGTCATGAACTTTCTCTATATGAACATGTAACATATATGAAGATCCTGATCCCCTGGCATCCTCTAAGAAGTGATCAACTTTTTATTTATTTTTTTTAAACAGTCCCCCAAATCTCCAATTTGTCCTCGTTTGATTGATCTATCCATTGACCCTCCCAGGATGATGTCGAGCTAGACACCACCAAGGCAGGGCAGCTTGTGGAGTGGGTGGGTGGAAGCGGCAGAGAACACGTGATAGTGATAGGGTGTATGCATCAGACATCTTACAATATTTGCATCGAATAAAATGCACTCTTCCACTCGAAGACATTGATTGAACGACAAAAACAGATAACATGGTTACCCCTGCTTGGCAGTCAATCAAGATTGTCTTTTTTGCTGCTTGCAGTGGGGATGGATACGGATCCAGTATGACCCAGTGTTCTACACAAAAAAACATGTAGCTTGCCGCCTTGGGATTGATGTAAAAAGAATCGAATCTTTGGTCGGACTCACATGCATCGAGTATGGTCTCGAGACATCTCGAGACCTGATCTCGGGGATTCGGTTTAGAGTCTAGAGTGGAGGTGGGGAGTAGGTTTGAGGCCATCGCTCGTAGGTTGAAGGCCATGACAAAAGACCATGAAACGGAAGAAACGCGAAAACCCTCCACCCTCAGCGCCATGGGCCAATGGGCGCATGGAGGAGTTGTTTTTGCCCATGTCTTGCCATGATAGATTTAGGAGTGGCATCCTGTGGATTTGGCTACAGGAAATAGCTGTTGTAGGACCTTCCGGCATGAAACTGACTTGATGCCACCAACATCAACAAGACCATCCAGCTCTCATTGCTAGCATCAAGACTTTCCCTCCCGCTCCTCCTTCTTTCGGTGTCGCTGTGCCGCATATCATGTCGTCCATATATGGGCGTGTGGGGACAGCTCGAGTCGCCGCCCAGTAGCATTGGGTCCAATGCCCCACCGCACCGTTCGCTTCTTTGCTGGCTCCCTTCGTCAAGCATTCCCAAACTATGTTTGTTTTTTCCTGGCTCATTCCTTCTTTGTTTGGGAATCATTCCCTTCTTTGTGGTGATTGTGGAATGATTCCCAAACATTTATGTAGAGAGACATCCATTGAACTGGAAGATGTTTGCCCTTTTGAGCCCCTTATCGGAGCTGTGGAATCTCTTTTTGGTTCGACCTGTGTGTCGAACAAAGTTGATCAGGTCTTCAAGAAGAATGGTGATGAAGCTTTGATGGACACGAAGGTATCGCAATGTGCAGAGCTGACCCAAACATGATTCATGCAGATGCATTCAAGACTTCAGATTTGATCCCAGAAAAAAGCTATAAGAACATAGTTTTTTTCTTATATTTTTTTGGTGGAACTTTGCTCCGTTGCAGAGCGGCAGGTGTTCAAGGACAAGAAAAAGAAAGAAGGCACAGCTGCGAACTGCATTGCTGTGGAGTGCGCAACAGCTTCGCGCAACATAAAAGAACATCCACCAAACAGAAACAATTTGGAAACGGAGGGAACCGACGAGAACGAGAACCAACGAGCATTGGCCCTCGCAAGGTGGCCTCATGTCGCTGCTGGAAGTTGCTGGCCTAAGTGTGAGATCGAATCGTACGGGAGCTTTTGAAAACGAATTTCAGAATTCCGCGCCGTGTGAAACCCCCAATGTTCCGCGCTTATTTTTGGACCATGCCATGACGAAGAAGGACCAAGCCAGACGAAATGACCAGAGTGACTAGAGTGACTTGGGTGGATTTTTTAACTCTGAAGTCTTTGACAACCTCTTTGGACTATTATTCACTATCAGGGGGTGCCTTTGAAACGATCGGCAACCTCTACAGATGTGGTTTAAATAAGTGTGGCAGGACGCACAAGTTTTTGCAGTGAGCGGCCGATCTTGCTTTCAGATATTGTGTTTGTGAGTGGCTAGTGACTGCTAGTGCCTTGGAAAACTGAGGATTGAGCTGATTGACCTGACAATCCTTTGCATTCTCAGGCGTGGCCGCCGTGCACAGGTTTGGAAGAAACGTTGCAGGTCGGGGCTGGCGATCGGATGGTGTGCTCAACTCTCTTGGCAGGTCAAGATCAACTCAGTGAGGCCATTTGCAACACCTCTCTGCGCGGTTCCTTGCCCAAGAAAGGCCCGACAATGCCCAAGCATCCGACAGGTCACTGCTTTCGCTCAGGGCAAATGAACCTCGCGCTTTCTTCCTGCCCCAAGCGCTGGGGTGCATAGCGTTGCGTAGCTAGTTTTATTATTTGGCCTCACTTCCAAAGTGCCATTCAGACAGTGGGTTGAGCCTGTGACAGGCTCAACCTGTCAGGAATTCTTTGGTGGTGTAAAGCTGCCAATGTCCCGGATGAGATCCGTATGTCTGTGGGCAAGATTAGGCATGGTAAGAATCGGTATGTCCCATGTATTTCCGATGTGGTTGCCTGATACTATGGATAGAAGCCGACGTCGTGGTCAGTTCGGGTGGAATCTGCTCTCGGCTGCTTGTGGAGATCCAAAACCAAGCAGTACTTGTAATGTCATTGTAATGTGATTTCTGTCAACAAATGTCGTGTTGGAATTGCGAGGAACAGTGAAACGTTTTAATGTTTATTTCTCACCCATCAAGATGATCCGACTTCTAAGTCAAGCATCCCTTTGGAACTCTCATATAGCTGCTGTCGAGGGGCGCCAACAGTGTGAGCCTCGCGCAAAAAAGCTTGTTAAAAGATGCTCGAAGCAACACGAGCGGCCCATAGGCAGTGAGGATCCGAACAGATGCTATTTCTGACGAATCCAATACGCATACACAATTTGGCTTGTCCCCTCACTCGTCTCCAAAAGAAGTACAGTATCACTATTACTCCCCTCACTCAGTCTTCGAAATAAATTATCGCTGTCTTCTGGACCCTTTCTTGCCCCATACATTCGGCTGTTGTTGGGGCGGGGACAACTATTGTAATTCTATGTCATGTTGGAAATCGGAGCACGTGCTTTCTTTCCTGCTGTTTCTTCCGCGTACCACATGGGCGCAGCTGTTTCTGCGCAGCGTTCGGCTCAGAGTTTCCGAAAGTTTCTGGTCCAGGCGGCCAGACCTCATTGACCAACTTGGAATCAGCTACAACCTAGCTGTAGCTGCAATCACTTCATTCCAAAAATAGAATCAAATGTTGTGTGCTTCGTGATTCCTGAATTACTCCAGTGTTGAATTTATTTCAGGCATTTTGATCGATCCAAAAAAGAATCTACCCACGCCAAGTGAGCAAGGTGAAGATGGTCTCTACAGCACGGCATCCTGTGAGCTTGATCCTGCCAAGGCGGTCAAGATGGTCGTGGCCCAAAAGAGGGGGTAAGGAGATGGATGGGTGCTCATTTTTCATTTATGTGCCTACCAAGTGTGTCTAGGGGGTCAATTGGTAACCCTCCGCGGCACCCTACTCGATGCCAGGCGTCGCTTTGAAGCTTCGGGATGGACACCTTGCAGGCTAGGGCCAAACTGGTTTTGCAGCTCACAGCTGTAGCGCGGTGTCTCCATCTTGAGAGCCTCATTTTGCTCGGGTTGAGGTTTGCCTCAGATGAATTTTGCGGGAGCCCAAAGACAAAGGTGCGAGTCTTGCAAAGAGCCTTTGCAGGTTGAAGTTTGTGCAGAATCCAAGAAAGCTGACACCTGATTGCTTGCT